AATTAGGCTCTCAGACTTTTTTGAAATTGTGTCTGAATTTTTTACAAAGCTCAAGTTATAGAATTTCTTTTGGATGAAAAATGTGGGAATCCACCTTTGGCCTTACCTTGATTTGTTCATCTTTCAGATACGCTGCTGTCAACAGAATGGTATCCGGAGCGTACAAATCTGAGTTCGGAGAGACTAGCGAGATGGCTCAGGTGGGAGATTTGAAATTTGCGGACCCAGCTCCCCCTTCACCTTCCTCTTAATAATCCCCTGTTTAGGTGATGGACCGTGTGAAGGCATTCGCAGCAAAGGAAGGACGTCAGCCCCGTATCATGGTAGCCAAGATGGGTCAGGATGGACACGATCGTGGAGCGAAAGTTGTTGCCACTGGATTCGCTGACCTTGGTAAACTCGTCCAAACTGAGTAACGACCATACAAGTAACTCACCTTCTAGGCTTTGACGTCGATGTTGGACCACTGTTCCAAACCCCCGCGGAAGCCGCGCAACAAGCCGTCGATGCTGATGTGCATGTGATTGGCGCTAGCAGTTTGGCCGCTGGACACTTGACTCTTGTGCCAGAACTCGTCAAGGAACTTAAGAAACTTGGAAGACCGTGAGTCTAGAAAGTTGTCATTGGAAGGGTCATTGGAAGTAGAGCATGCAAATAATGCAAAAATTACATTTCTAGCGATATTGTTGTCGTTGTCGGAGGTGTGATTCCACCACAGGATTATGATGCATTGTACAAGGCTGGAGCTTCCCTTATCTTCGGCCCTGGAACAAGGCTACCAAGCTGTGCTATGCAGGTTAGTGCGACCTATAGCATTATGTCGCTGTTTTAATCCTGAAAATTGATAAGCCACAGAAAAAAAAGCTTCAAAAACTACCGACGTAGAACACAAGTTTAAAAAAAACCTAATGGGAGATAGGGCGTAAAAAATCTGGAAGACGTCAAATCTCTGTAATATCGATATAGCCAATTATGAATACAATTTTTTTGCAACTCGTCCTGCTCCAATTTTAATTCATTGGAAGGTTGATGAAATTTGTCGAAACAAGATTATGTGTAAAGTTGATTCATACATAAGGTTTTGATAAAATTTACACTTCCCAGCAGTGAATATAACATAAAGTCATTGCTGGCAGACTTGCAGGAATTCTGAGTTGGTGTAACCGGTTAAATGTCAGTCGTGAAGTAATCAAAAAGTAAAAAGCAAATAAATAAGTAAATATGTAAAATTATGCACAATTTTGAGGATTTATGCTGCGGGAGCTCAAAGAATCGCGGACAGGGCCCGGCACGAGGTTGTCAAAAGGGGTTTTCGAA